GCAAGGGCCCCAGCCAAGCCCAGACGGGGGCGCGGGGACCCAATTCTAGAAGCCGCACAACACCAACCACACTCAAACTCTTCGTGATCTCTTTGAGGCCTTTCTGCCAAGTCATGCGCTGTCCACCTCGCGGTTTNCACACCCTGCTTTCGGCAGCCAAGATGACATCACGTCGACGTCCCGATTCAGAAGTTACTTTTGCCACACGTCATTCCGTCGGAGTTTATAAAGTTGTTTAAACAGATAACTTTATCTGCAACATCGATCATTTCACCCACAAACAGGGTTCGGGTTTGGTCCCATCCAGTATTTTAGTACAGTCTTACATTTTCCAGGCATGAGGCGCACGTCAAACCGTGCAACGATATCAGACCATTAGCGTACTCAAGTCTGTGGACGAACATCCTGAGAACATTTCGGTCTCCGAGCCGTTAGAGACGGCTACATAAGATTTAATCAGCAGGTTGATTACGAAGCTGAGGAGAAAGGGCAACGAAATTTGCCCTTGAGTGAGGTCACTGGACCTAACCACTCCACCGTCTCGAAGCAAATAACTTAGAATCAGACGATATATTCCACGGAGAAGCGAACTGTTGCAAAGGGCCCACACAACACCGTGATCCTACTCAAGCTGTGTACTTAAGAATGAACAAAAATCTTGTATTGAAGCTGTTCACTAGCAACCCATTGTCACCATCGCCAACATTCAACACAGTTCCTCTGCCGTACAACCATCTTTTATCTTAGTATTAGCTTAACCCAATCATTCCGAGGTGCCTACACCTCCAGACATACATTCAAGCAATTTAGATTGAAAGTGACAACAAGAACGCCATTGACGTAGACTAGCGGATATACATGGTATCACCTACAACCAGAAGCAGTGGTGNCCGATTCCCGTCCTAGAGGGCCATTAGCAACCCAGACTTTTCATAACTTCTTTCATGCCCCTTTGTAATGTCAAGAGTTGGCCACCCCACTGCTTCCGCCACTCTGAATTGAGCACGAAAAACAGCTACCCCTTCTGCATGCGTAGTAAATGGCTTAAGGAACGCAGCTTCTGGTGCTGGACACATTCGGCAATGCAGGTCCTTGTCACAATCGAAAACTCGCCCTCTAATTGCCCTGTTACGAATTCGCCGAAACCAACCTACATCAACTATGGTTTGGAGATAACGGCTGTCGAATACCTGAAGACGTTTCAGTTCCATTGGCCGAAGGTCCGTGTCTCGCAACAATACGACAAAACAGCCCGTATTGCAGTCTGATACACACGTCTCTTGAGATCCAGGAATATACCGCTTTGTGTCTCAAATTAGCGGAAGCTACCCGGGCCTTGCAGCTTCGTACATCGACACTAAAGTTGGAACTAATACAACTTCCAAGATAGGTAAAACGATCCACAACTTTGAGTGTCTCTCCCTGGATTGTAACTGGCATGTTCAGTAACTGCATATTCAGAAGTATGACTTTACAGTTTGCGGGTGCAAAGTGCATCCCAAAGAACGGGATGGTTTTGGTCAGTTTATCCAAAAACACCTGAGCCTTCCCCCTTAGAAGACGAGAACGATGCCTTTATATTCCGGATCAACAAGGTTTATCTCAGCAGCTCTTTGAAAGCCCTGGTTTTGGAGACTCTTCTCGGTTCCTCTCACTTTCTCGTTCATCATAAGATGGTGTGAATGAAGAAAATGAACACCCCTGACACAAGCTCTTTGAGGGCTCCCCATATACTTTCACACCCGTAAGTCTCAGACTGCGAATAATTTATTACGTTCACAAACTTCCTAAGCATTCTTCACCAGGCAAGTGCCAAGTAGAATATATCGGCCAACCGAACCAAATGCGACTTGTAAATACAGGGATACTAAAACTGTGGGTCGTTTATAGGTATGGCGCTGTTCTAGCACCTCACGACTAGCATCATCAGAGACAGCAACACCAGTGCTGAAACCAGTGTGTCACTGCGGCAAAAACATACAATTTATTTAATTATATTTGAGGCCTTAGGGTGAAAAGAAGAGTGGGTGGGGAAGGGGCCTGTTGCCAACCTATCACAAGCATTCTGAGGTGCGTACACCTCCGAGAGCTCAATCGGACAATCCGAAAAGAAACCGACAACACAAACACCACTGGCATAGATTAGCTGCCATTTCTTGCAATACCTCCAGCCAAGCGCAGGAGGCGTCACTGGGACCCAGTCGTGGAGAAAGTACTGTATTAACGGCATACAAACTCTTCGTAATCTATTTTACACCATTCTGCCAACTCACACTTTCCACCTCACGGTTTGCTCTATTCTAAAGGATGCAGGGAGAATAACACTCGTTTCAATAGACGGTGTTTCGGCATATGCAGAGTCGTCGTCGCCGAGTCATCGTACTCGTCGGTGCTGGATGTTTTCCGCGACTGAAGTACCTCTGCAAAACCAAATACTCGGTTCGTGATTAACTCGTTAGGAATTCCCAGACGCCGACACCAGCAGCGCTTTTGAGACATTGGTGGTCAAAAACCTGTCCGCAGAAGCCATGTCTCGCAACCATACGACACTGCGGCCCTTACTGTTGCCTGAAACACGCGACCTCTTGGATCTAGTGATGTGCCTTCCTGACGCCACAGGTGGCGCAAATTAGTAAACGTGATTCGCGGCTTTGAGATTCACGCACCGATTCTATCAGAAACACTTCCGTCAGAGCTAACACAACTACCGGGATATGCCCCGAACTAAAACATTATCCTTGTCGTGGTGGTCTGGATTTATTGCTGCAATGGCTTTGTGGGATACACGGAGTGGAGCTCAGTTCTCCATGGTCCAACCATGCCAGGAAACCCAACGTGGAACAAACCGACGGAGGAAACCGAATCCCCGTAATGCGAGAAAGGCGGTCTGGAGGCAAAGTCGTACTGTCTTCGAGTGGCATGACAACTAGGTACATTGGGGTGTTACAGCTGAACGATTATCCTATGAGAAGTAGAGCGGACGAGTGCATAGTCGGAGTCCACGCTGGCATTCCAGAGGCAGCGTCAAGTAGTGGTCGGCCTTCGTCAATTGTAAGTGACACGATGTGGTCCAGTTGGATTCGGGGCTGCTTCGTTGATGAGCAAGATCACTCAGCACAATACGTAACACAGTGTACTCAGCTACAGCGACCTCTGCACATCGGGAATCTGGAAGAGAGTGAAGTTCAATACAGTACTTGTGTCTTGTACCTTTTTTCTGATATCCATTGTGCGATCAGGAGCCATTGTTCTCCTACTTGTTTCGGCGTATGGACAATAAAGACAGCTAAGTAGACCGGCTTTTGGGGTTTGAACACGTAAGTCGA